GGTAAGGCCAGGGGCTAATGCAGAGATGGATCCCTTGTTAAATTTCTACCCTCCTCTAGGAGAAAAGGTGGAAAACTCAAACGTTCTGCAGGCCTTCTGTTTCCTTTTAAATCCGGGAGCTGTCTCCAGGATGCTTGTAGAACCCTTCTGTATTTAGGAGATGAATGGCACTCTTGAACCGGTACTCTGATGCTGTGATTTCTCTGGTGTGGGGGATTTTGTCCATTAATGCCATGTTCTTAAAAGACACAAGAGCATGAGTAACGTCCAGGTGAATGTGAACTTTCTTCAGGAGCACCTTGGTTTTGTATTTTGGCCACGGCTCCGCAATGCCAGAGGAGAAGCAGTGTGGAGGAAAAAGCTATTAAGGAATCTTTTACCCATGTGTCATAAATACTGTTTTGCTGCTTTCTAGGGTGTTTCAGACGTGCCGGAGCACATCCCAGCCATCAGACTTGAAGAAAATCCCCCAAACAGGTGACAACCCCAACTTGTTCTTTTTCTTAATCAGTGTATATCCCCAGGGAAACGTACGTTCTGTCACATGTGGGAAAAAATGAGGGTTCTGAGATAATTAAAGCCAAAATCCATCAAAGGAATAAGTCACCTGAAACCACTTGCTAGCAGGAAATCTAGCAGGATTGCTTAATTCGGCTTTCTTTAAATGCTGCAAGTCAGCACAGCTTTCCAGTGACTTCTTGGGTTGTCTGAATACCTGAACGAGGAGGAGGTGAAGTTCTACTTCCTCGTGAGGTGATAGATGAGGAGTAGTGTCCTCTGCCTTTTGGTCCTCAAGAATGCCACCTCAACTCCAGGTGCCCTGGCTTCACGGATAAACCCCCAGACTGAAAAATGTAGCTGGTAATACATCGGGCTCTAAATGTAGCCCTGGGTCGATTGATAACAATCCCTGTGTAAGATTGAAGCGTAGGAGGGCTTGCCTACAGTTTGAAGAGCCGGTTTGCAGAAAAGGGATTTCCCGTTAAGAAATGGCATATCCTGATTGTTCTTTCTTGCTCTCCCAAGACCTGAAGTGCGTCTTGGAAGCCCGGCAAGATTTGAGGAGCAGATGGAGATCGATCTCGAGACCTCGACCTCAGCTTCTTCCCAGCTAGAAGAGGCACGCACACGCCAGCTGAGTTCCGCGGGGAACGCGCCCTTATCTGCGGATGAAGATTTTGAGAAGCTACTATGGGAAATCTCAGGAGGCAGACTGGAAGCCGAAATTGACTTAGACCCAGGGAAGGACGAGGATGACCTCCTCCTTGAACTCTCCGAGATGATTGACAGTTGAACCGCGTAGTCCTATGGTATATTTAAAAATTAAAAAATTAAACTGTTCTTCTTGTTGGTGTACTGGGTCTGGCTGGAATGTTAACTTTCCCGGCAGCAGCCCATACACTGCCGTACTCTGTACTTGTAGCTGGAACAACAGATTTATCACAGCAGTGTTGTGTCTATTGCTGAGCTGTGGTGGCACAGTATTGGGCCTTTCTCTAACCCTCCTAGGGGATGGGCAAAAAGTGAGGAGAGAAACATCACTAGGGCAGCTGACCTAAACCAATCAAAGGGATATTCCATACCATGTGATGTCATACTCAGCAATAAAAGGTGGAAACAGGAAGAAGAGGGGAGGGGTGGGCTCTCGTTGAGAAGACGTCGGTCCTCCTCTTGAACACCGGCTGCGTGCGTTGAGGCCTTGCTTCAAGGACGTGGTCAATCAGCGCTCATTTTTGGGATGTAGAGAGTAATTTCTTTCCTCTGCACTTCCATATAGCCTTCATTTATTTTGTTTGTTTGTTTTCCTCCCTTCTTTTTATTTTCCCTTTTCCCCTCCCTTTTCCCCTTTCCCTTTTTATTTCCCCTTAGTTAAATTGTTTAGTTCATGGTAGTCTTTATTTAATTATTATTATTATTTCCCTTTAATTAATTTATCCTTATCTCAACCCGTGAGTTGTTCTTTGCTTTACTTCTACCCCTCCTCATCTAAAGGAGGGGGAGTGAGAGAGCGGTTGTGGGGTTTAGCTGCCCAGCATGGTAAAACCACCACAGTTGGATACCCGTTCCACAGGGAACGCGCCCTTATCTGCGGATAAAGATTTTGAGAAGCTACTATGGGAAATCTCAGGAGGCAGACTGGAAGCCGAAATCGACTTAGACCCAGGGAAGGACGAGGATGACCTCCTCCTTGAACTCTCCGAGATGATTGACAGTTGAACCGCGTAGTCCTATGGTATATTTAAAAAAAAAATAAAAATTAAAACTGTTCTTCTTGTTGGATACCCCGAGGTGATCCTTTTTCTAACTGAGGCTTTGCAATGAGACTTAAAGCACAGTCCGAAGTGGTAGAAATTGGCAGGATCTGCACTCAGTTGTCCTAAATTTCCCTGCTGGTCAGAGTTAAGGTCTTGTGCATCCGTTCTGTAACTATAGGTGGCTACCTTCGATATCGAGGACAAAGCACTTCTTTTGGCACAGAAAGATCTCCATTGGCACGCCACGGTGGCTGCAAATCGATCTTCTGATGGAGCGATGCTCTGAAGGCTTAAAGGGAAAGCTTCTTCCTTCCTCCCCCCTTGGCACAACTCGATGTCGGGCACATTGTGAAGCTTCGGTGTTCTGATTTCTCGGACAGTTGATACCCAAATCCTGGAGTTACTATGTCGAACTCTTGACTTTTACTTGTGTATGCCATTGTTTTGACTGTACCCGTGTCAGATGATGAAGCTGTAGGGGTGGGAGGGAGCAGAATCGTTATTCCAGTGTGTTGTGGACCAAACTTGCTGCCAGGAGTGGGGGTGGGGGTCAGCCACCCAGCCTTACTTTCAGTTATCAGGGATGATCAACTGGTGAAAAGCAGCAGCTCTGCCATGCGGCTCCGCTACCCCCACTCCCTTCTCTTGTGCTGTACCAAAGTTCCCCCAGGCTTTGGTTGGTGCTTTTTGTTGGTGTAAGGAATCCGGGGCGAGCAGTCGGGACTCTGCCGCAGTCACGGGGTCAATGAAGGGTTGTTTAAGTGCCTCTTGGTTTTAAAAGTTGCTCCCCTGAGCTGCTGGCTCTGCTGCCTGCTACAGCAAATGTTCGGGTGCCATCAGCATCGCGCTTGGGCGTGGGCACTGACCCTGCGGAGGACAGAGCTGAGATTCGGGTGTATTGTGTACCCTGCCACCAGCCATCGATTTTTATTTCTTTTTTTCCCCTAGCAGATCAATTTTGAATTATTTTCCGAACTTTTCACTGCACGGTAGGCTCTTCCCGCTATGATTTGTGAAGCTGTGGGGGCCCTCAGGCATTTGCTGCTGGCAGAGGAAAAGCGCTTGTTGAATTTGTTGTAAATACTTAATGTTGGGACAAAACCACGCGTCTCTGTGTTGAGGGATGGGGATCAAGAAGCAACCCCACTGCTATGCCAGAGTCCCTATAGGCAGTGTGGGTTTTCTCTCTATGCAAGCCTCATTATTCAGAGGCAGAGTATGGCTTCGTCCATTCAAGGTCCAGAATCAGTTGTCAAATGCTAGGCAAAGCCAGTGGCTCCTGGGCTATGTGACAAACTAACCCTAGAGCAAAACTCCTCCTTGTCCTCTTACCTGGGGCCCTTTCTGCGATGCCTTTAGGGTGAGTCAAGGCTATGATCTCCACCTTCTGGGGATGGTGTTTGAGCTATGTCCTACCTCAGTGCTGAGACTCTTTTGCCTCTGTAGAGGCCCTTTGCCATGACACGAGTGACGATGAGAAATAAAATCAACTAGCCTCTGAAACGTTCTTGTTCCCAAGCACAGTTTTTTCACTGGCTTGCTTTAACTCCTAGTTTTTGGCCAAGAAGCTATTGTTTCTCTGTGCCTTTAATAAGAGGCTTTCTCTGGAGCCAAGTCAGGATGGCAAGATTGAGCTGGGCAAGGCTATCGAGGAGGAAATTCAATCTTCCCAGCTGGGTGTCTGACCCTTGGAGCCCGGGCCAACTGATCTGAAGCGGCTGTAAAAGCTTTATTTCGCAGCATCGCTGTCTTCCCTGCTCGCATTCTAGGCACGGTGTTTCTGCTGACAGCATCTTCCACCTCCTCAGCAGAAGCTGCTTCTTTCTTTAAACGTAGTACAGGCTGGACGAAAGAAATCAACTGTTAGCAGTGCTTTTAGCTATTTAAATGGGGAGAAAACCAGCCAATGTTTATTTCTTTGTCCAGGGCAGCCACGAATGCTTGCGTGACGTGGGCTCCTCTCCCACGTCCTTAATTGCCAAGCCGGTAGCGGCTCTGGTGACGTGTCCCGTGGGTGTCTGTGCAGTGACGGGGCTGCCTCACCCCTGTGTACCCCAGGACAGACATTTGGGGGGCTCTTTGCTGCTACCACAGGGCGCAACCTGCGGGTCCTGGGGCAGGCAGGATGAGTGCTGCTGGGCCCGGAGGGTAGGCCTGGCCTGAGAGGAGACAGTAAAGGAGGCAGGTTTGGGGCTTAAAGCAGGCTTGTCCTGCCCCAGCCTTCTCCGGAACCTGTGTGCCTGGCTCTGGAAAGCCGTGACAAGACATCAAATGACTCGCAGCTTGCCAAGAGAGCTGCGGTGCTGGAGGAATGGCCGCCTCAAGGGGCTGAGGCCAGGCACCATCACGGGCAGGACTCGAGAGACGAGGCACGATCTTGGCACAGACACAGAAGGGAAGGGGAAGCACTGCTCTGCTGGCCCTGAGCGGTGCAGCCCCAGGAGAAAAAAAAAATCTGTGTTTCCTTAGGCTGATGTCCACGCTGAAGGGGCAGAAGGGTTCCGTGCTGTTGCTTGGGTCAGCCTTGTTGCCAGGTTGGGAATGTTTAGCCTCCCGGTGCTTCGGTGCTGTTGGGCTGCACTCAGAGTGTGAGCTCTGGGCGTTATTTCTCAACTACTGCGTTATTGGAGCATACGGAGCCGAGATATTCTGCGGATAGGTGATTTAAGCCACGTCAGAACCACCGCTGTGGCGTGTGCCAGCGTCGGACGCCCGTTCGACTGCTCGGGCGGAGCAGGTGAATTGAATTTGGTGCTGGGTGGCGAGGTGGTGTTGGGGGAAGAGCTAGGCTAAGGAGAGCTTCCTCTTGCTCTGCCCCTTCCCATCTCAAATTGGGGGCTGACAAAGCCCCCAAGAGAGATCCAGGTACTAAACGGGCATCTGGATTGGATTCCTGGGTTTTGTATTTAGTCTTTCTGTTTGTCCTTTTCCAGTGATGTTTCTTTTTGCATGTTGGCTGAGGTCGTAATCACTGGGATTCAAAGTTACCTTTCCTGTCTTGTTTTGAACTGTGAACCTGAAGTTGACATTCTGCAGCCTCCCTAATTCGTTCTGTTTCTGTTTTGCAGTTCAAGTTGCCAAGTCTCTGAAGGACAGGCTGGGATTACCTCCTAAACAGACCAGCACTGAGAGAGGTAACAGCTAGATATTAAATATGCTTTCTCCTCCTTCCTTTCCATGAACTTGGACTGCTTTCATCCATCCCTAAAAACTAATGTAAACGAAAACAAAGAACTGATGCCTCTTGCTTGAGTGCTGAAGCTCTTCTGACAGCCACTATCAGAAATCTGGCTCTAGGTGTGTGTTTCTTTTCTACTTGTGCCTTGTCAAGGTTTTTAGCTGCTTCTGTGAACCGTTACGTACCATTAGAATAGAACCACTGCCAGGAGCAGGAATTTGAAATGCAGTCTGAAAAAGTAATAAAGTAAAGCAGCATTTCTGTGTAGCAGTTCTCTCTGGGTAGGGCTGGTCTTCAAAATACAAGTGGCTCAGAGGAGGAGGAGAATGTTGTTCTAAGGATATTGTTCTAAGATGCATTATTGGGAACACTCCAGATTAGTTTTCCTTAGTGCTCTGACAAATTTTGGAGACTTAAAATATTGCTGGACTCTCTTGAAATGTTGGTGCTTCTCCTCATTTCTTGATGATGACAGGGAAGGCTGCTAAGCCGATGGGAGAGATCCGTGTGAAAACACTGGAGGAAATCCGTCGTGAGAAAGCTCTTCAGAGACGCGAAACTCAAGCCAAAGGCGAGGCTGAAGGGCATGGTAAAACTGAAGATTCCAGCGCAGGGGCAAGACCTGCTCGTGCAGGTCGCATCAAAACTTTCCCTGAAGCCTTGTCTGAAAACAAGAATAATCGCTTGGTAGAAGAGAAGAAAAAAGCAGGAGAATCCCCTAGCAAGAGCAAAATTCAGGGTGAGTCCAAGAAGCAGCTAGCTCTGTCCGGGCGAATGGATTGCACATTGTAGCCTTTCTCTCTCTCTCTCATGGGACACGAGGATGCACAGATGCACAAAGGAAACAAGTACCCAGCTTTCTTTATTTCTGCCGTTGACAAAACTTTTTTTTGTCTTTTTTTAAAGCACCTGAAAAAGAAGAAAAGAAGGCAGTGAAATTGAACCGGCCTTTTCCTACCCTTTCCTCTGTAGCTGATGTACGGGTGAGTCCTCTGTGAAGACACACATCCATTCGTACAATTTCTGATAATTCTGCCAAGTTTGGTTACTCACCGTGTGCCACCCTCTTGAGTGTGTTCTTACCCTTCAGCACCTGGTAGGAGCTGCAGTGCAGTCTAAATCCTATCGCCAGCAGCATTTCCAGACAACTCTGTAATCCCCAAACTTGGAATCAGTCTGTTTATACCACAGCAACAAAGAAACCCTGTTAGCACCAGCTGAAATCTACACGGTTAACGTGGAGGGAATTCTTTTTGTTCTTACTGCCTTGAGCTGTCAGACGTGAAGGATTTAATACGGAAGGCCAGAGTTCTGTGTTGAAGGAAATCAATCTGTCAGTGGATACTGTATAGGGGAACTTGTATGACTTTCTGCTGCTTAAAAAGAATGTGATAAATAGATGTACAGCAGAACACCCTAGCTGTTTAAAGAAGCTTGCCACAGTGGATAGTGCAGATATGCGAGACTGTGTCCATAGTAAAGCATGGCTCTTGTTACATGCAGAATTTTATGGAAAAAAAAAAACCACAAAAACAACAACAGTAACCTGAAGGATATTAATATGCTGTTCCACATCAAGACCATTTTGGAGGGATTGCTGATCAGATTTTCTTAACGAAATCTCCACGCACGGATTTTTTTATTTTTTTTTGTCCTATTCATGCACTACTTTTCTTTCCTTCTAGCCCACGCAGCAGAGTGGAACTCGTAAATGTCCAGAGAAGAGCTTTGAAGAGAGCCGTTGGGAGAAGTGGCAACAGCGAGAACAACAAGAGAAGCTTCGGAAGGAGGAAGCTGCTGTCAAATCTACTGCTGGCTTCTTTAATACTGAACCAGCAGGGAAAGTGGCAGCTCAATTTCAGGGCCAGGAAGCTAAAAGTAAGTGTTGAAGGTTAAGAGTTCCTTAGGTTGTCTTCTGAAATACAGACAGAAGATGACGATTCTCATGCTGTAACTCTGGCTGGGTGCATTTTGCCACGCAATGCTACGAAGCAAAGTGTGTACTTTCTTTTTCTTAGTTTGTTTCTTTTCCTGCCAGCCAGATGTTAGGTAAGGAACGGGAGACTAGAAAATGACACGACAAATTTGGACGGTGTAGAACAACTTAACTGTGGGACATCACTGCAAGGGAGAGGAAGCTGGTACAACAGTTGCATACACTCTTGTCCTACTCTAACTGCTGCTTTTTCCTTTCCTAGAGGGAGCAGGACTTTAACTATAAAAGCTGTCTAGATTTGTGAACCTAGCTGGCACTTAGGATTGCTATGTGTCTGAGGTTTCCCTTGTCCTGGATTATTATTTACTGTAGCTATTGGGTTTCTTTGTTCCTTTGTATGGATTGTTGGTAGACAGAGTTTACTATGTGGAAAACATTCCTGAGAATCCAGGCAATGGCGGTGTAGAAGGACTGTGGAAATGATGAAGAGAACCTGGATTTTTCCTGAGGCGGAGCAAGACTGTATCAGTTCTCTCTTCCTTTTACTCTAGCCAACTTGATGACATCTGCGAAGCCTTCGGGTGGGAAAGTCACTTTCCCCAAGAAGAAGGCACTGAAACGTAAGGCACCTGGGAGTTATCCCTCTGCCGTAGCAGCTGTGGAACTACGGACTGCCTTTGCTGCTGACATGATGGGACCTCCAGCCAAAAAAGCAGCCATGGTAAGGCCAGGGGCTAATGCAGAGATGGATCCCTTGTTAAATTTCTACCCTCCTCTAGGAGAAAAGGTGGAAAACTCAAACGTTCTGCAGGCCTTCTGTTTCCTTTTAAATCCGGGAGCTGTCTCCAGGATGCTTGTAGAACCCTTCTGTATTTAGGAGATGAATGGCACTCTTGAACCGGTACTCTGATGCTGTGATTTCTCTGGTGTGGGGGATTTTGTCCATTAATGCCATGTTCTTAAAAGACACAAGAGCATGAGTAACGTCCAGGTGAATGTGAACTTTCTTCAGGAGCACCTTGGTTTTGTATTTTGGCCACGGCTCCGCAATGCCAGAGGAGAAGCAGTGTGGAGGAAAAAGCTATTAAGGAATCTTTTACCCATGTGTCATAAATACTGTTTTGCTGCTTTCTAGGGTGTTTCAGACGTGCCGGAGCACATCCCAGCCATCAGACTTGAAGAAAATCCCCCAAACAGGTGACAACCCCAACTTGTTCTTTTTCTTAATCAGTGTATATCCCCAGGGAAACGTACGTTCTGTCACATGTGGGAAAAAATGAGGGTTCTGAGATAATTAAAGCCAAAATCCATCAAAGGAATAAGTCACCTGAAACCACTTGCTAGCAGGAAATCTAGCAGGATTGCTTAATTCGGCTTTCTTTAAATGCTGCAAGTCAGCACAGCTTTCCAGTGACTTCTTGGGTTGTCTGAATACCTGAACGAGGAGGAGGTGAAGTTCTACTTCCTCGTGAGGTGATAGATGAGGAGTAGTGTCCTCTGCCTTTTGGTCCTCAAGAATGCCACCTCAACTCCAGGTGCCCTGGCTTCACGGATAAACCCCCAGACTGAAAAATGTAGCTGGTAATACATCGGGCTCTAAATGTAGCCCTGGGTCGATTGATAACAATCCCTGTGTAAGATTGAAGCGTAGGAGGGCTTGCCTACAGTTTGAAGAGCCGGTTTGCAGAAAAGGGATTTCCCGTTAAGAAATGGCATATCCTGATTGTTCTTTCTTGCTCTCCCAAGACCTGAAGTGCGTCTTGGAAGCCCGGCAAGATTTGAGGAGCAGATGGAGATCGATCTCGAGACCTCGACCTCAGCTTCTTCCCAGCTAGAAGAGGCACGCACACGCCAGCTGAGTTCCGCGGGGAACGCGCCCTTATCTGCGGATGAAGATTTTGAGAAGCTACTATGGGAAATCTCAGGAGGCAGACTGGAAGCCGAAATTGACTTAGACCCAGGGAAGGACGAGGATGACCTCCTCCTTGAACTCTCCGAGATGATTGACAGTTGAACCGCGTAGTCCTATGGTATATTTAAAAATTAAAAAATTAAACTGTTCTTCTTGTTGGTGTACTGGGTCTGGCTGGAATGTTAACTTTCCCGGCAGCAGCCCATACACTGCCGTACTCTGTACTTGTAGCTGGAACAACAGATTTATCACAGCAGTGTTGTGTCTATTGCTGAGCTGTGGTGGCACAGTATTGGGCCTTTCTCTAACCCTCCTAGGGGATGGGCAAAAAGTGAGGAGAGAAACATCACTAGGGCAGCTGACCTAAACCAATCAAAGGGATATTCCATACCATGTGATGTCATACTCAGCAATAAAAGGTGGAAACAGGAAGAAGAGGGGAGGGGTGGGCTCTCGTTGAGAAGACGTCGGTCCTCCTCTTGAACACCGGCTGCGTGCGTTGAGGCCTTGCTTCAAGGACGTGGTCAATCAGCGCTCATTTTTGGGATGTAGAGAGTAATTTCTTTCCTCTGCACTTCCATATAGCCTTCATTTATTTTGTTTGTTTGTTTTCCTCCCTTCTTTTTATTTTCCCTTTTCCCCTCCCTTTTCCCCTTTCCCTTTTTATTTCCCCTTAGTTAAATTGTTTAGTTCATGGTAGTCTTTATTTAATTATTATTATTATTTCCCTTTAATTAATTTATCCTTATCTCAACCCGTGAGTTGTTCTTTGCTTTACTTCTACCCCTCCTCATCTAAAGGAGGGGGAGTGAGAGAGCGGTTGTGGGGTTTAGCTGCCCAGCATGGTAAAACCACCACAGTTGGATACCCGTTCCACAGGGAACGCGCCCTTATCTGCGGATAAAGATTTTGAGAAGCTACTATGGGAAATCTCAGGAGGCAGACTGGAAGCCGAAATCGACTTAGACCCAGGGAAGGACGAGGATGACCTCCTCCTTGAACTCTCCGAGATGATTGACAGTTGAACCGCGTAGTCCTATGGTATATTTAAAAAAAAAATAAAAATTAAAACTGTTCTTCTTGTTGGATACCCCGAGGTGATCCTTTTTCTAACTGAGGCTTTGCAATGAGACTTAAAGCACAGTCCGAAGTGGTAGAAATTGGCAGGATCTGCACTCAGTTGTCCTAAATTTCCCTGCTGGTCAGAGTTAAGGTCTTGTGCATCCGTTCTGTAACTATAGGTGGCTACCTTCGATATCGACAAAGCACTTCTTTTGGCACAGAAAGATCTCCATTGGCACGCCACGGTGGCTGCAAATCGATCTTCTGATGGAGCGATGCTCTGAAGGCTTAAAGGGAAAGCTTCTTCCTTCCTCCCCCCTTGGCACAACTCGATGTCGGGCACATTGTGAAGCTTCGGTGTTCTGATTTCTCGGACAGTTGATACCCAAATCCTGGAGTTACTATGTCAACTCTTGACTTTTACTTGTGTATGCCATTGTTTTGACTGTACCCGTGTCAGATGATGAAGCTGTAGGGGTGGGAGGGAGCAGAATCGTTATTCCAGTGTGTTGTGGACCAAACTTGCTGCCAGGAGTGGGGGTGGGGGTCAGCCACCCAGCCTTACTTTCAGTTATCAGGGATGATCAACTGGTGAAAAGCAGCAGCTCTGCCATGCGGCTCCGCTACCCCCACTCCCTTCTCTTGTGCTGTACCAAAGTTCCCCCAGGCTTTGGTTGGTGCTTTTTGTTGGTGTAAGGAATCCGGGGCGAGCAGTCGGGACTCTGCCGCAGTCACGGGGTCAATGAAGGGTTGTTTAAGTGCCTCTTGGTTTTAAAAGTTGCTCCCCTGAGCTGCTGGCTCTGCTGCCTGCTACAGCAAATGTTCGGGTGCCATCAGCATCGCGCTTGGGCGTGGGCACTGACCCTGCGGAGGACAGAGCTGAGATTCGGGTGTATTGTGTACCCTGCCACCAGCCATCGATTTTTATTTCTTTTTTTCCCCTAGCAGATCAATTTTGAATTATTTTCCGAACTTTTTGCGGCACGGTAGGCTCTTCCCGCTATGATTTGTGAAGCTGTGGGGGCCCTCAGGCATTTGCTGCTGGCAGAGGAAAAGCGCTTGTTGAATTTGTTGTAAATACTTAATGTTGGGACAAAACCACGCGTCTCTGTGTTGAGGGATGGGGATCAAGAAGCAACCCCACTGCTATGCCAGAGTCCCTATAGGCAGTGTGGGTTTTCTCTCTATGCAAGCCTCATTATTCAGAGGCAGAGTATGGCTTCGTCCATTCAAGGTCCAGAATCAGTTGTCAAATGCTAGGCAAAGCCAGTGGCTCCTGGGCTATGTGACAAACTAACCCTAGAGCAAAACTCCTCCTTGTCCTCTTACCTGGGGCCCTTTCTGCGATGCCTTTAGGGTGAGTCAAGGCTATGATCTCCACCTTCTGGGGATGGTGTTTGAGCTATGTCCTACCTCAGTGCTGAGACTCTTTTGCCTCTGTAGAGGCCCTTTGCCATGACACGAGTGACGATGAGAAATAAAATCAACTAGCCTCTGAAACGTTCTTGTTCCCAAGCACAGTTTTTTCACTGGCTTGCTTTAACTCCTAGTTTTTGGCCGAGAAGCTATTGTTTCTCTGTGCCTTTAATAAGAGGCTTTCTCTGGAGCCAAGTCAGGATGGCAAGATTGAGCTGGGCAAGGCTATCGAGGAGGAAATTCAATCTTCCCAGCTGGGTGTCTGACCCTTGGAGCCCGGGCCAACTGATCTGAAGCGGCTGTAAAAGCTTTATTTCGCAGCATCGCTGTCTTCCCTGCTCGCATTCTAGGCACGGTGTTTCTGCTGACAGCATCTTCCACCTCCTCAGCAGAAGCTGCTTCTTTCTTTAAACGTAGTACAGGCTGGACGCAAAGAAATCAACTGTTAGCGGTGCTTTTAGCTATTTAAATGGGGAGAAAACCAGCCAATGTTTATTTCTTTGTCCAGGGCAGCCACGAATGCTTGCGTGACGTGGGCTCCTCTCCCACGTCCTTAATTGCCAAGCCGGTAGCGGCTCTGGTGACGTGTCCCGTGGGTGTCTGTGCAGTGACGGGGCTGCCTCACCCCTGTGTACCCCAGGACAGACATTTGGGGGGCTCTTTGCTGCTACCACAGGGCGCAACCTGCGGGTCCTGGGGCAGGCAGGATGAGTGCTGCTGGGCCCGGAGGGTAGGCCTGGCCTGAGAGGAGACAGTAAAGGAGGCAGGTTTGGGGCTTAAAGCAGGCTTGTCCTGCCCCAGCCTTCTCCGGAACCTGTGTGCCTGGCTCTGGAAAGCCGTGACAAGACATCAAATGACTCGCAGCTTGCCAAGAGAGCTGCGGTGCTGGAGGAATGGCCGCCTCAAGGGGCTGAGGCCAGGCACCATCACGGGCAGGACTCGAGAGACGAGGCACGATCTTGGCACAGACACAGAAGGGAAGGGGAAGCACTGCTCTGCTGGCCCTGAGCGGTGCAGCCCCAGGAGAAAAAAAAAATCTGTGTTTCCTTCCGCTGATGTCCACGCTGAAGGGGCAGAAGGGTTCCGTGCTGTTGCTTGGGTCAGCCTTGTTGCCAGGTTGGGAATGTTTAGCCTCCCGGTGCTTCGGTGCTGTTGGGCTGCACTCAGAGTGTGAGCTCTGGGCGTTATTTCTCAACTACTGCGTTATTGGAGCGTACGGAGCCGAGATATTCTGCGGATAGGTGATTTAAGCCACGTCAGAACCACCGCTGTGGCGTGTGCCAGCGTCGGACGCCCATTCGACTGCTCGGGCGGAGCAGGTGAATTGAATTTGGTGCTGGGTGGCGAGGTGGTGTTGGGGGAAGAGCTAGGCTAAGGAGAGCTTCCTCTTGCTCTGCCCCTTCCCATCTCAAATGGCCGCTTCCTGGGGAGATGGGTTCGTTGGGAGGCTAACTACAACGTTACAGTGAGGATGAGGAATCCTCTTTAGTCCCGTAGGTATTTGCTGCCAGGCCGCAGCGTTGATTTCAGAAATTGTATTTAAAAAAGGAAAAAGAAAGGAAATCCGTATTGTTTAACATACTCTCTTTTCTCGGAGAGTAGATGGAGGAGCTTCAGCAGTGCCCTTCCTCCCGAAAGGCTTCCCAGTGTCTGCTCAGACACTGAGGAGGAAAATAGAGGAGAGCCACCCGATATAAATAAAGGCAAGAAGGGGTTATGGATTAAGGGAAAACCACTACTTCAAAAATTGGTGCTCTCTACAAACCGGTTAAGGGTTTGGGACCTGCAGGTGCTGCCTCCACCTGTGTGCGTTGCAGTCGTGCCTGTTGCCACTGAGCAAAACGGGGAGAGCTGCTTTGTCGAACGCGGCGTGTTAAAGCACGTGCCACTGCCTGGAAGAAAAGCACGGACTTCCCTCGTGTGGGACTTCTTCCCTAGCCATGTGTGGTTTACCTGATGGTTTCCCATAAGCTGTGAATGTTTAAAAGAAAAAAACCAACAAAACCCAAGACCAACGTTGAGAGTGGTGAGGCAGATCCTCACCTGGGGACTCAGAATCAGCGGTGACATCACCATGCGAAGCATTGTGTGCGCTTCGGGTCGGGGCTGCTGCGAGCCTCGCAGCGGGGAGGGAGAGCGGATGCGGGGTGCCTCTGTGTCAGCCCTCTGCCCTGGTGGCTTCGTGAGCACTGAGAGTTTGACTCCTGTGTTGCCAGCTTTCGCTTCCGCACCTGCGGTGTGGCAGAGCCAGCGAGCTGCTTCCTCAGCTGGAGGAGGAAGAGGAGTGACCTCAACGTTGCCGAGGTAAAGCACAATTCTTGAAAAGATTTGGCAAAGATGTGGGTTGTAGCAGCGCAGCTGCTGCAGCAGATCCTGGAGCATTGGAGAAGACAGAGAGGGGTTTCTTGGTGAAAAGAATGCTGTTAAAAGTGTTTTCATGCCAGAAATGAGGATAAAGGCCTCTGTTGTTTGACATCCTCTATTGACCTGGCACATTGGCATTACAGCGTACCTGGCACGCTGTTTGTATTAAAAAAACAGGTATTTTAGTCAGGGCAGGCCAGAAACCTGCCTTGGCACTTGCACATGGCAGCAATGCTTACAGACCCTGCATCCTGGCTGCCAGGCCAGGATCTAAATCCGATGGTGTTGTTGGTAAACTGAAGCTCAGGAAGCGCTTCTGGGTTTTTCTGTACTTCCATGTGAATTTTGACCCTGTGAAGATGGTGTCTTAAGCTATTTTCGGAACAACAAATAGGTTGAAAAGCAGTTTCAGTTTAACATCTGCATGCTTGGGTGTTATTAACAGAGCTTTGTATACTGAGCTGGTGCTTGGTAGGAGAAAAAACATAAACCTTACCTGGGAAACTTGGACCCCCTCAGCTACATGCTGCTATGAGGAAACTCAGATGTAAGAACACACTTAAATAACACATCAGCAGAGCTGTTGTGCTCCTGACCACCAAAGGCACCTTTTTCCAACACCGTCGTACTGGAAGTTGATGCAGCTGGTTCCATCCGTAACGTGGGACTGTAGAGTGCTGTAACAGAAATATTTTTTCACAGCTTTGGAGAAAGTGAAGCAGAGAAAACCACACATAACCACTGATAGCTGGACCCCAAACTGCCACAGACTGACAGTGATGCCCACTGGATATCTCCTGAGACCCTGCTGCCTTCTGCCTGCTCCAGCAGAAGTCCCGTTTGAATTAGCCAGCAGGTCCCTCTGAGTGGCTTTGCTAAAACTCCCGCCGTAGGAAGTATCCTACGGGAGCCAAGTTGCTAAACTGATGGGTGGGTTTCCCTTAACCCCCTCACCCCTGACTTTCCAGCTCCTGACGACACTGCCAACGTGTGCAGTGTCACCGTGTGCCAACTAGGTGCCAGCTGCCATGGTTTGTATATTGTAAAAGGAGTGATTTGGGACTCGTGAGCACTGAGAACAGGTTAGCAATTGCTTAAGAGCTTTACTTGTGTCGCTCTGGGGCAGGGAGATGGGTGAAACATCTTAGGCTTGAAAGTGATTCCCTGCAGAGTGACGTGCTCAGATCTGCACAACAGATCTGTCGTTCTGGTCACCTTATTAGATCCCTGCTTGAGAGGGTGCTTGCAAGAATCCATTCCTCTTCACCTTGATGTGTCAAGCTAAAGAGAAATCCGTGCCGAAGCACTGTCTGATCAGACGCGTGCCTCGGTTCAGGATTGTTCTTTGACAGCTGCAGAAACACCAGGACAGTCGGCGCCTTCAGGAACAGATTAATTTAATCTTGAGGCTGTCATAAAACAGGTCCCTGAAGTTTGAAGACTCTTCCAATAGTTTGGGCCAGCAAGGAGCAGCTGTAGCTGGCGGCTGCGGTAACTCGGGGCTCAGAGTCTCAGAGAGCGTGGTGAAAGGTGACCCCCAGCTGGCTGCTGGAGGAAGCTGAGGCAGCGTTCAGCTCTAACCTTTGCCTTCTTGGCTGGCATCTTTGCACTCCTGCTGTCAGTGGGTGTTGAGTGTCCTTCCCCCCAGCCTCAGAACGTGCCCTCAGATGTAGGCAGCGTTTAGCAGCTAGAATTCACTCCAATATAAAGAGTACAAATCATGCGTTTTCTGCTTTTGCTTTGGAACTCTTAGCTTGAGGTTTTCCTGCAGGCCATGAGGTTTCTTGCAGCAGCAGGGAGGAGTTCTGTTAGCAAGAGGCTGTTCTGTGCTTCGACTGTGGGAAGATGAATGGTTCCCTGTGCACCGTTAACTAGAACTTGACACCTAGCACACCGCACTTGCAGCCTGTGGGGTGCTTTAACAAGCAGGTAAATCAGCAGAGGCTGTTTTGCAGCCGGGGTGATGCTGGCTGATTAAAAAGCAGGGGCAGAACAAGGAGTTTCTGGTGTTTGTTCTTGCTTGTCATCCGACTCTCCACTTCCACTGTTCTTTAAAAAAACAAAAACAAAAAAAAAACAACAAGGGGTAAGCATCTTGAATATCTTTACTATAAATGGAAGGCACAAAACAAGCCAGCAACAGAGACTGTCCAAGAGAAATACTTGGTGCTTTATAAACAAACAAGGAAGTACCCTTAGGTGGGTGTGATAATCCTCCTCTAATGCGTTTTTGGAGTGCAAAAATAGATTTGTTCCTTTCTTGCTCTTCTCTCCAGGACAAAGGCAGAATAGCCAACTGCAAAGTTAGACCAGGGAGGTCCGTTTGTTCCATACTGAGAAAGACAAGCCTGTAAAAGAAACTAGACAGATTTGCTTTTTGTTATTTATCTTTCTTCAGCAAAGGCAAAGCTTATGACACCTGTTGGTGTGTATTTCCAGAATTTGGGAAAAAGGCTTTGCTCTCTTCGAGAGACTGATAACTTGATTTGATCAACTGAAGAAAGCTGGAAAACTGTTCGTTCCTCATTATTTTTCACTTGTTACTTTCTTTAGGGTTACTTTTAAAAAGAAGATTTCACTGATCACGAGCCAGTAGAAGACTTTCAGCCCAAGCAAGGGTGAAGACAGCTCTCTCCAAGAGCAGAGGAAGTCCCTGTGGAGAGAAGCCGAGCTTGTTAGCAGAACTCGTCGGCATGTCTAAACAAGGAGACGATTGCTACTTCTATTTCTATTCTACCTGTACCAAGGTATGGCTGGCTTTCCTTTGCTTTGCTTTGTTTCCCCATTTTTTTCAGGAAGGAGTAGATTAGGAGGAGGAAGCACACTGGTCTGTGGTTAACTTGAGAACCAGAGAGATTCTGAATTCAGTTGTAGCAACATTAGGCAGCAGCATGGCCATTTTTGAGGCTGTACTCTCTTTTCCTTGTTGGTTTCCTTGTGGTTCCAGGGAGACAAATGTGCCTACCGCCACTGCGAAGCTGCTCTGGGCAATGAGACGGTCTGCAAGCTGTGGCAGGAGGGTCGTTGTTTCAGGAATGTCTGCCGATTCAGACACATGGAAATTGACGTGAGTGCCTAAGGATGTGTTCTCAAAATAAATCAACAAAAGCCTTTTTCAGTGCCCTAGGTGGACTGATTGTGCTTTTGCAGGATAGATTCGTTTGCTTCCAAATCCTACTGGTTTCTGTTACCAAGAGAGGGGGTGGGAGGAAGCAGAGGGAAATAAAATCAATGCCTTAGGTATGTCTTAGCAAGATATATCTATTTTTTTATTATTAGATGCTGACAGTTTTCTCAACGGATGCAGAATAGCTGTTAAATAGACTGCTAAAACCTGCTGGAGCAGGGGGGTAATAAACAGGCTGTTCTATCCTCATGGGAGCAGGCTTGATAAGGAACTCTCAGGTCTCTTCTGAGCCACAGTCCTTCAGCTAACGCTGTTCTAGCTGCCTGGGGTAGGAAGTGGGGAAAGTTAAAGGTGCAGAAGAACTAAGTCTCCAAGAAGTAGTTCTAGACAGGGTTAACCTAGGCAATTTCGGATGTTCTTTTTCCCTCTGAATAATCCTAGTATAATCCTAGGTGTATTAGTTTAACCCACCCTCAACTGATGTCTGCGAGTGCCTGTCTTCTCAAACTGAATGATGACAAATCTAAATGTGCATAGTGGTTGCAGCTTATGCAAACTTTGTGAATATGCCCAGAAATACTCCACTTAACTGAGAACCTGACCTTTGGAATGATGTTTCAGCACTGTGTTGTGACAGCTGTCATGATCTGGAGCTGTGCATCTCTTTGCAAGCCTCAGGTGCGTGTTATCACGAGCTTTTCTTTCTTTCTGTCTTCAGAAAAAGCGCAGTGAGATTCCTTGCTACTGGGAGAACCAGCCGGGAGGCTGTCAGAAAGCCAACTGTGCTTTTCATCATGCAAAGGGACGTTACATCGATGGGCAATTCTTCCCACCAAGCAAGAGTGAGTTTAGGTCCTTTTTCTTTAAGCGCTGAAGACTTAATGTTGAGTATTACTTAGTGGGTGCCAATCCTGTAGGGGGCATCAGGTAACTGTTCATTTGTGAGTGCAGGAAAAGGTCTGCAGTCATAGGTGGTCAGTTAAACCGAGTGTACTGCTGGTGTTTGTTTTCTGCTTTCGTGCTCGGCTTCTCTTTGCTTTGTGTGATGTTTGCCTTGCAGTTTGCTTCCTGTTGTTTCATCTTTTGCTGGGTGGTAGGGAGATGTGTTGTTGCTCGAAGGGAAGTCATTGTTCCCGGTGTAAACAGTGATGGGATGGGCAAAAGGAGATGCTGAATTCGTTGTCTGTGCGGGTTATCTGCCTTTCCTACCATCTCTTTGCATTGTGGTCAAAGTTTTAAACTGCCATATTACCGATGATCCTCCTCTTCCTCTAGCTACACTGCCAAATCCGCCTGAGTCCGCGGACGATGATTTGAAAGTGGCTCAGATGTCACTGCAGCAAAAGAAACTTTCTGTCCAGTCAAATCCCTCTCCACAGCTAAGGGGGTGATGAAAGTGGAAAACTCTGAAAATGTCCCAAGCCCTACACACCCTCCAGTTGTAATCAATGCTGCAGATGATGATGAAGATGATGATGGTGAGCATGTGTTGGTTCTTGGAAGGAATTTGTGCTGTAAATGATTGTGTTAAATCTTTGGTTCTTGAAGGAATCTGTGCTGTACATGAATGTCTAAATCACAGATGACCCGAGGTCTGACTAGCGATAGGGCAGGCAGTCTGGCCAGGTCACTGGTGGCTTTGTCTGGCAGTCAGTGGACAGAACCTGAAACGTTGGAGGAAAGCTTAGAACCACTCCTGCTTTAGCTGGTCTGTTGTGTAAAGTTCTATGTGAAACTAGGAAGGAAATTTCTTATTCCTGTCTGAAGAGCAATGTGTTGTGTAGTAGTTAAAGCTGCAGAGAGAATCTAGAGTCCTAGATGTTTTGTCCTAGTGCATTCTACTTAGGAGTTCAATAGGGGGGTAACTGAAAAACAGAAGGGTAACGAGAAGAAAGAGCTGTAGAAGACAGTGCTATATAAGAAGCAATTTCTGAAGCATTAAAGAGGCTGACAGTGGCAGGTGTGGACACAGTATGACAGGAGTTTGTGTATAAATTGTTTAGAGCCGTGCAAATGCCTTTTAAAGGGAAAAAAGTACTTTTACTCGTAGACATTCACCTTAGAAAGGACTATTTCTCAGCATTTGTACCTAATAATATTCTGCTTGCTTATGCAGCTTTGTTCTGCACAAAGTATAGCTGTCAAGCAGACTCAGATTCACGCTCTACTATCTCAGCTGGAATTTGGAGGAAGCACTGAGACCCTTAAGATTTTTTTTCTATGTTAATTATAGTTAAAATATGAGTTTATGTGGTTTAGCTGTCAAAACAGTGTCTGACTGGGTTTTTTGGGACATGGGCTAACAGGATAATATTTCTGTTGGCTACTGGTTTCTGTGAAATAGAAAAAAAATTCCCTTTTGTTTTAGGGGAGGAACCTGTGGTTCGACTAGATCTTGCTGATAGACAAGGAAAACGGAAAGCCTCCGCAGGTAAGAACTTTTTATGAGCTTTTACGTAGGTGCTGCCTTCTATACATGACTGCATTAAAGAGTATTTTTGAGGTATGAAAGGAAAATACATTGCAGTGGAGATCTGTGTTGACTGCAGAAATGGCAAAAAAAAAAATAAAAAACATCATTTAGCAGCTGAAAGGCAATTCTGTGAAAATATGCTTGAAAAATAGAAGCTTATTGTTGACTGTCCTCAAACCTTCCTGCAGAGAAAAGTTCTTACAATATTCCTTGTTTTCTCTGAAGATGATGTAAGCACCGTTCCAGTGAAGCGCAGCCTTGCTGAAAGGCTGGGGAAGAAGGTAGAGGCTCCGGGAAATGCTGACAAAGCCCCCAAGAGAGATCCAGGTACTAAACGGGCATCTGGATTGGATTCCTGGGTTTTGTATTTAGTCTTTCTGTTTGTCCTTTTCCAGTGATGTTTCTTTTTGCATGTTGGCTGAGGTCGTAATCACTGGGATTCAAAGTTACCTTTCCTGTCTTGTTTTGAACTGTGAACCTGAAGTTGACATTCTGCAGCCTCCCTAATTCGTTCTGTTTCTGTTTTGCAGTTCAAGTTGCCAAGTCTCTGAAGGACAGGCTGGGATTACCTCCTAAACAGACCAGCACTGAGAGAGGTAACAGCTAGATATTAAATATGCTTTCTCCTCCTTCCTTTCCATGAACTTGGACTGCTTTCATCCATCCCTAAAAACTAATGTAAACGAAAACAAAGAACTGATGCCTCTTGCTCGAGTGCTGAAGCTCTTCTGACAGCCACTATCAGAAATCTGGCTCTAGGTGTGTGTTTCTTTTCTACTTGTGCCTTGTCAAGGTTTTTAGCTGCTTCTGTGAACCGTTACGTACCATTAGAATAGAACCACTGCCAGGAGCAGGAATTTAAAATGCAGTCTGAAAAAGTAATAAAGTAAAGCAGCATTTCTGTGTAGCAGTTCTCTCTGGGTAGGGCTGGTCTTCAAAATACAAGTGGCTCAGAGGAGGAGGAGAATGTTGTTCTAAGGATATTGTTCTAAGATGCATTATTGGGAACACTCCAGATTAGTTTTCCTTAGTGCTCTGACAAATTTTGGAGACTTAAAATATTGCTGGACTCTCTTGAAATGTTGGTGCTTCTCCTCATTTCTTGATGATGACAGGGAAGGCTGCTAAGCCGATGGGAGAGATCCATGTGAAAACACTGGAGGAAATCCGTCGTGAGAAAGCTCTTCAGAGACGCGAAACTCAAGCCAAAGGCGAGGCTGAAGGGCATGGTAAAACTGAAGATTCCAGCGCAGGGGCAAGACCTGCTCGTGCAGGTCGCATCAAAACTTTCCCTGAAGCCTTGTCTGAAACAAAGAATAATCGCTTGGTAGAAGAGAAGAAAAAAGCAGGAGAATCCCCTAGCAAGAGCAAAATTCAGGGTGAGTCCAAGAAGCAGCTCGCTCTGTCCGGGCGAATGGATTGCACATTGTAGCCTTTCTCTCTCTCTCTCATGGGACACGAGGATGCACAGATGCTC